AACTATGGCCACAAATACCACGTCTAGCAATGGAAATCTGTGCCAAAACTATGGAATAACAAAAAGAGAAATACGCACCAGCAAAAGTCTAGTATCGTCTGTTGGGGCCCTGGTTCATGTTTGCAGCACCTCCATAGTTGTTAGGACCAGGGTTGTTGTAGCCTGGAGCTCCACCTGAAATTCCAAGGCCAACTCAACTTAGTTTTGTTTTAGGAGGAGGATTTTCTTCTTAACATTTATTAAAATGAATATTAATTTACTAGTAACCCTTACAGCCTACCTAGGTCTTCATGATCCTTACCGGCACTGTACGGTGCTGGCCTGTTGGTCTGTCCATATCCCTGGTTCCTCATGGGTCCACCACCATAGCTCTGTCCGTAGTTGTTGCCGAAGTCGCTAGGTCCCTGACCCCAGTTGTTTGGTGTGCCACCATAGTTACCAGCTTGTGGGCCCCAACCCTGGTTGGTTTGGTTGTTCCAACCCTGGTTGTTGGGGGGACCACCTTGCCATGGGCCTTGGTTGCCATAGCCACCCTGGTTGTAACCACCTGGACCACTCTGGTTAGGAGTGCCATAGTTGCCTTGGTTGCCCCAACCTCCACGATTATCTATAATCAAAAGTAATCTCCATTAATAAACAAAATAATACTGAACAAGAATAATATTGGTCAATCTAAATCAAAATAATGAGTAGTGGTACTGCAATAACCATTTCCAAAGGAAGTGCTCAAAATTCCAAAAAGGAGAATTTATGCTCACCTCCCCATCCACCGCTCTGGTTGTTTCCCCAATTGTCGTTCCGACCACCAGCCCAAGGTCCATTTCCGCCACCACCTCTACCCATTCCACCCATGCCACCCATTCGGCCACGCTGCTGCATCTGGATTTCATTCTTGCTTAGGGCCTTCTTGACATCTACACGCTTCCCCTTCATCTGAATGTTCTTGTGCACTGTCAAATAAAAATATACATGGTAAATATAAAAACCTAAAGCTGATCCAAGTGGAGGGATTTTCACCGGCTAATCACCCCCTTTGGACCTTGTTAACCCACCTCTCTCAAGATGGGTTATAACACGATTGGATATCTCCAAGACATGTCAACGTTAGACTTACGGCACTCACAGCATGCCTTATCTACAGCATCATAATCCTCAAACTCTACAAAAGCGAAGCCTCTCTTCTTCTGTGATTCCTTCTCTGTTGGGATGCTCACAGACACTACTGTTCCAAACTTGCCAAAGGTTTCTCGTAGATCCTGTAATAAAGTTTGAAATGAACCTTCCACAATATACTCAAAATTGAAAAAGGTTAAAAAAAAAAAATATATATATATATATATATATATATAGCAATACATAGAAAAATATAAATCTTCAAAATAAAAACTTACCTCCTCATCTACATCGTCCTTTATACCACCTACGAACAGCTTCTTGACTGTGACCCCAGACTCAGGCTTCCCAATTTCATCTCGAGGGACAGCACGCTTTGTGTCGACAGACCTCCCATCAATCTAAATGGCAGAGGAAAAATATGAAATAAATGTACATTTGCTAATCATTTATATAAAATCAGAACAAGAACAAGCCAAAATTTATATTTATTTATTTTACATATCTATTGTTATTTATTTATTTATTTATCTATATAACTATATATATATATATATATATATATATATATATATATATATATATATATATATATATATATATATATAAAAGGCTTACCTTGTGAGGTCTGTTTTTCTGTGCCTCATCGACCATGTATGCTTGAGAAAAGGCCACAAACCCAAACCCTCTTGAGCGCTTTGTCTTGGGGTCTTTCATCACAACAACATCAACAATCTCGCCGTACTGTTCGAAGTATGCCTTCAAGCTCTCATCAGTGGTACGATAGTCTAATCCACCAATGAACAGCTTGCGCATCTGTTCAGGCTCCGAGTGTTCCTGCAACAGAGGTAATAAGGGGTTACATCCACCTTAAAATAATGCTGGCATCAGGCCAGTACTGATGAAAATAACCTCAAAACACTGAAATGCTCCTTCCACTCCTGCAATCAATAATGTAGTCCATGCTAAATTTTCACCAAAATTCAAAATGAATGTCTGTAGCAACTTGCATTTTAGTATAAAAGTGTACTATTAAGCAAGAAAATATTGGTAAAAAATCCAACCTTTGTTAATCTATGCAAATAGAGAGGAACTATTTATATGAAAAATGGAAATAGTACACCTTCTATTGTCTTGAGGTATCTGTAAACACATCTACGTTGGAATGTATGCTCAAGGAACAAGAAACCACCATCCCTCATAATTACAAAGGGATATGGGCAAATTATCTTTTATTATTACCAAGATAGTAAACATTTAAAAGGTTCCTGAAAAAATTACAAAAACTAACAAATTTAATAATGGAACAACCTTTTACACACTATTGATTGTTTACATAAAGGGAATTCCATTTTTTTTTATGCAAATACATCTACCAATATTGTTAATTATTTCCATAAATAAGTACATGAATGGAAAATCCTGATACAAACAAATCTAACTTCAAAAGAATGAAATGTATATCCACAAGCATTAACAATTACTATTAACATTAAAGAATCATCAATATGATATTTTTATTACTGATGATAGTTATAAGAGCATAATATTCACAGATGATAATATTAAGAAGTGATTTACATTATCCTTCTAAATCTTAGATATTCTACTACTGCTAGCAAATTGTTCAAGGTTCCACCCCCACCCCCAACTTACAATGGTTAAACCCAGTAACCTAATTAATAGCAATATGTTTCATGTGATAATCATTAGAAACCCATACAGACATGCCCACAAACATCAGGGTATTGACTATTCTTAACCTTTGTAAAAAAAATAAATAAATAAATAACAATAAATAAATAAATAAATAAAATTGTAACAATGCACTCATCTCCCATACATGTATTGTATGACAAGCTACAATTTCATATTTTAAAAATTAGGGCTGACAAAAACACAAGTTGACGCAACTTTCATGGCCATTTGGTAAATGTTTGACGATGCCAATATTTAATAAAAGACTTCAAAATCCTAGTGGATATCTTGCATGCAAAACTACTTCAATACAAAGAATTACAGTAGATGGCCTAAAACATACTCAAATCAAATATACATAGACCATCACTGTAGCCTTTGCACTGTTGGCAAACACACCTTGCAGACTTCCATGGAATCATATCATTAAATAAGGATCTAATTCAACCTATACAATCAGAATATATACGGAGATAAATTAGTTTTGCCCAAAGTGCCAAGGACAACCCAGTTATCACATCCCACAAGTAAAATGTTATTTCTTTACAATACTGACACTCGTTCTAAACTTAGGATAAAATTTCTGATGATTATTCAAGGTTAAGGTACGGTCAGACCCATGAATTTCACTATAATCCAGTGATGTGCAATGGAACCAACCCACCCATCAAATGTCTTCACACTGCAAAAAGCATCAGCTTTGCCCAGTGAAATCACGGCATCAAAACATAACCGCAGAAATTAGCTATGGATCCCACAATCTTCTAAAGTTTTCGGAGTTCTATCCTTTTCTAGGAGGGAGTAAATCGCTTCAGAATTCCACATTTCGAATATTCATGGGATCTGCAGCTTCAACTTGGAAGTTGGTAGCTAAACATTTCTTTACATTCGTCAAACAAGAATCTTTGGTCAATGCTTTTTTTTTTCCTTATTCATATTCTAGGTTAAATTTAAATATAAATATTGATGTGAAACTAAATATGAATTATTCTGATATATAGTAATAATGCTTTAAATGAAAATATAAAAATACCATGCATCTTATAGTCAATGTTAGGAATTTTTCCATTCATACATCATTGGGCAAATTCAATAAAAAAAAAAAAAAAAAAAAAAAAAAAAAAAAAAACGCTGGACTTCACAAACCTATGGGTCATCTGACTATTACTGTGAGTCAGCATACCTGAACCGCCCGTGATGAGGGTTAATGAATTGTTCCGTCACCATCCCCCAATACCCTTTGGTAAACTATATGCAAATATCAAGGTTCATCAAGTGCACCTAGGCTGTGAGCAGCACTTTCAGGAATTTTTTCTTTTGTGACATGACTTAGTTTGACTTTCTTGTAATGACAACTGCAGCTTTTAGTCCTCTAAAAACATTATCAATTTAATCTAAGTTGCCGTGAATGGGCTTTGCCTGAGGGGGAGGGTTGATGCGGGCTCTGTCCCCTAAAATCTTATAACAAACACTGTCTTCACCTTACTATGCACAGCAAGAGAGTTGAAACTCGAGTGCCTAGCTTGCTTAGGCTGCGAGTCATGCTTTCCTCAATCTTTATCCCTTTAACTTCAATTTGCCCTGGCTTTGTCCATCCACACCGTAGAGATTTACTACTGTCCATCCACACCGTAAAGATTTACTAGATCCATTATACATAAATAGGGTATTTGAAAACCAAGGTCTTTATCAAAGATATAAAAATTACTTGTACAACTGCAGGAAAAAGGCATTTTCCTAGATATACAAACATGCTACAACTACTGCTAAAGAATGACACTTCAGGAATCCTTTACAGTATATCCCAGTAGTCAGAAGCAATACATTTAATGGACTAAAGGGAATGCACAGGAATTACACACCCCACCCCTCCCCCCCTCCCCTCCTTCCCCCAACCCACATGACCAAGTGCTCCCTTCCCCCTTAATGCCAAACTGCATCTAGCCCATGAAACCGCATAATCCCACCCAATTACACGTAGCAAAATTAACACCGCCTCACATCAACCCACCCCCCCCCAACACACACAAACACACATCTCTTGCAATAACCATTCACAAATCCTTAAATCTTACTTTCCTTCCGTTTGGCTGTTGTTGCTTCCCAGTGCAATAAAATATCCAATATTCAGGTTTCTATTCTTCAACTAGAAGACTTTTGCTTCCCGGTATGGATTCTGAACTACCATA